GTGGGCCGATGGTTGGTGAACAAAGCAGGACGACACATTTTGGGCTGAAGGAGCTCTTACGTAACGGCCCAGAAGTGAAACATATTTCAGCTTCTTGTTGCCTCCCTGTGGGCCAACAGCATCTGAGGCCCACGTGAGCTGGATTTACGTATTCCTGCATCTGTGACAAAGATTTTATTCTGCCATAAATCTGTGTGTGTGTGTGTGTGTGCGCGTGTGTGTGCGCGCGCGCGTGTGTGTGTGTGAGATAAGGACATGCTCCAGTGATCTTATCGAGTCAGAGACGTTCAGGCTTTCCTTGAGTCTGATTTCATTTCCACATAGGGCCAGGGGGAGTTTGGAGCAGGGGGGACACGATGGTACGAGCTGCATCAAAGGGAAGAGAGCCTGTTAAATCCTCCTGCTGCCCTTGGGTCAAAATCACCCACGAGGCCTCAGCTTGCACTTTCAGTTCTGAAGTTTTTATGCATTAGAACAGATAAAACATAACCATTTGGTTCTCATCAGTAATTAAAATGAATCAAATCCTGCCTCAAGTTTGATTAATTTATTTAATCGAAAATATTTTTTTTTTGTAAGAGGCCTGGGCCTGAGGAGGAGTCTGCCCTCCTGCTGCCCTTGGGTCAAAATGACCCGCAAGGTCTTAGTTTTAGTGGCTCTCAAACCTTGTTTTGCAGATTGAAATAAAGACATTTTAAGGCAGAACTGTCAGTTTGACAAATAAAAATGTATTTTAAGTTATTTTGACTACCCTCCTGTGCAATAATTTTTAGAATATCACCTTTCAGTGTAACAAAGTTATAAAAAGGCAAAAACACAATGTGAGGGTTGTAATATTTGTAAATAATAATTTATGCATTTTTGTGTGGCTAAAGGTACTTGGACAAAAAATAACTACCGTACATGACAAACAAAATCATCAGAATTGATGCAAAATTTTTAAAATAATTTTAGATTTACCAGTTATTTCATGGTAAATTTCTAAAGATAAACCAAATAAGCAAATTAAATTGCAAAACTCTTGTTTATTTTGCTATAATTCGGTGTAATACTGAAAACTGCAGATATTAAACTGACACGTTCACTGAGAACAATGAGAGTTTTGAAGAAGATAAGTTATATGGAGAAACACTTTCATTCTAACCTTAGGTAAACAAATAAATATCCTAAAAAGGACTAAAGCAGCAGAGACAAACAGGCAGTGCGCTTTGCCGCAGCGCCCAAACACTTTTGGTATAGTACCAGTCCTGCAGCGAGATGAAACGAAGTGAGCATCAAGGCGAGGAGCAGAACTCACCTCAGCTGGGTTGACTTAGAGCTTTAACACATGAAATGTATGACTGACGTCTGCCGTGTGTCTTTATTTAAACATGAATTCACTCAGTTAAGTGACCATCGATTAAAATACTTGACTTTAGCGTTAACACACCTGTCAGTTCAATACGAGGTTTTTGGATCAGACCAGGGTTTGACCAATAGACAAGGTACCCAGTCTTCGTGGCGCACCAGGACAGTGATAGCAAGGAGGGCTACCGCTCCTGCCAGAAACCTTGATGGTACTCGTACTTCTCAAGGGTCCATCTGGGTGCCAGAATCCAGTCAGCTGACCATCAGGGACAAAGAAAGTCCAGTCAAGAGGTTTATCAGTGTGCCAGAAGGTCCAGTCAGTCAATCAGGGTCTCAGAAGGTCCAGTCCGAGGACGATTAGTGCCCGAGAAGGTCCAGTCAGAGGACCATCAAGGACCCAGCAGGTCTATTCAGAGGACAATCAGGGTCCCAGAAGGTCCAGTATGTGGTCCATCAGGGTCCCAGAAGGTCCAGTATGTGGTCCATCAGGAACTAAGCAGGTCCATTCAGATGACCTTGCTAAACCATTCAAACAAAACAAACTTTTGGTTTTGCTATTAACTCTTCAAGAAAAATAAACAAAGCAAAACAAAGCAACTATATTATTCATAATGCCAGCAGAAAAAAAAAAAAAAAAACTCCCAATATGTATATATTTAAGTGGTACATGGTTTATAGATTTTTAAATTAAATACAGGTTTTGTCACATTTTAAAGCTTGCAGATAAAGAAATAATTCAAACCTTTACTGACAGCTCAGCTTTTGAGCTAAAATATATCAGGACTTAGCTCAAACTATGGCCCAAATCCTTTTCCAGTGACTGCATCAGACATAAATGAGTTTAATATGACTAAATATTAAAAAAGCAGAAGAATCAATTTGCTTTTTAGCCTGTTTGAAACCAACTCCCCCGGCCAGACACACAGCCATCATTTCACCCTCCCGCTGCCTTTGGGTCAAAATGACTCACGAGGCCTTAGTTTTAAGAGTGGTTGTTTTGACCCAAGGTCAGCAGGAGGGTTAAAAACTAAACAGCTCAGGCTGAGGCTCTGACAGCGCTCCTCAGGGAGTTTCCAAACAGGTATCTGCTGATTGAGAAGCCCGTCTCCTCTTTCTGTTTTTAACGAGACAGCCTGAAAGCACTCTCACACATATATAATGATTTTTAAATTTAATAAATCTAGTCCAATATTTTCAGCTTGGCTATAACTGTTTATACCACTAACAGGATGTTGTAAATCATTTAAAAAGAATAAACACTGCAATAAATTATATGTACAGGGATTATTGATGGCGTTGAGTTTCTGTTCTTACAAACTTGACATTTAAAAAAAAAAAATCCTTTATTCTTCAAAGGCTTAAACTATTTTCAATAGTTTACTGTTTGACATTTTTTGTCTGTGACCTATTTTTTATGAACCACAACACAAAGTAAAACAGAAACAGGTAACATTTTGCATTTAGTTCTAAACATGATCGATGGCTATACCTCACAATACTCAAGCTAATCGCTGCTTAGCTCACTGCTAACCTTGTTAGCTTAAGGTAACACTTATACTGTTTGGCCTTGATTTATTGATAGCTAATATGGCAAAAAAACATAGCTTAAAGTTATTCAGTAGTAAATGTGTTGTTTTTGCTAATGCAAAATAAATTCTGAAATTACTTCACAACCTGTATAAATAAAGGTTGAATTAAAAAAGTACTGAGACCACTGCTAATTACTGATTAGCTCATTGCTAATCTGTTAGCTTTAAACCTGATTTGAAAATATTAGCTTAGCATTGCAACAGTTTTGCCTTCCAGTATTTCCCCCTGGTCACTTACCTTGGCAGTGCGCTGATCTCTTTGGTGATTTTTTGTTGTTGTTGTTGTTGTTGTTGTTGTTGTTGTTGTTGTTGTTGTTTTTGTTGTTGTTGTTGTTGTTGTTGTTGTTGTTGTTGTTGAATGTTGAGAAAAGAGAGTGCTACTTCTTTAGCATTTTAGCTAGCGTGTGTTTGGCGCGCTTTTAGTTTAGCACTACGTCATTAGCCGTTGTGGACGACATGTCGGTAGGCGGGGCGTTCGGTTCTTTTGATGGGACTGGGCGCTCTCCTTGAATAACGGTTGGGCAAACTTTACCTTCATTTAAAGATAGCGACATTATCTGCAAAAATGAAGCAATTGATTTAAAAGTTTTTATTTGTTGTGTTTTGCTGTTGGAAGACCTACTCGGAGAAAACTGATTTTACAACTGGACAGCTAGTCACTGCTTGACTCAATGCTAACTGTTAGCTTCTAAGCTTAAGGGTGCACCTGAACTAATTAACTTAGCCATATCCTATAAGTTTTTTTTTGCCTTTATTTAATAATAGTTAATATTGTAAAAAAAAATAAAAAAAACAGCTCATGTTTCTTGTGTTTCGAAAGCTGCTACACCTGTTAGACCGCAGCTATAGCTCATGCTAATTTGTTAGCGTCTGTCATTTGAATCTATAGCTGAGCCTCTCTCGACTATATCTGCTTTTACATTTCTATGAAGATAACTATGTCAGACACAAACATAATGTAGCTGTTTTAATAGATAGTTGTTGTTTTGTTTTGTTTTGTTTTGTATTGCTCTACTTTTAGCAGCAGCTAAATGCTCAAATCACTGCCAAGGATTTTAGCTTCCAACGTGAAGGCTTTTGTTTTACATTCTTTTAACTATTTTACACTCTGACATTGAGAACTGCTTTAAAGCTAATCATAAAATGTTTTCTATGTATAGTACTCAGTGGTGTAGTCTACATTTTTGTAGTGGGTATACTGTGCTTAGAAACCAAAGCACACTGGTTAGTACAATGTAATGGTCCATTTGTTTTGATTTTTAAGCATATTGAACATTTCCAAATTTCTCTGATGCTTATATTTGAATAAATGAACAACAAACTTTGTACAACAGTTGGCTTTGTGTTAAAAACATGTAATAGCATTTATAAAACTGTATCAAAGCAAAGCGCTGCATACAGACAAATTGTTACGAAAGCGTTTAACGTATCAATGACACTAATGATATGTCGTGTATCGTTGGGCACTTTTAAGTGGGTATACTGAAAATCTTAAGCTTTCCTAGTGGAAACACTCCGTATACCAGAGTATCATGTAGACTACACCACTGATAGTACTCCTGTTCCTAAAAATACAACTTTACAGGCAGTTAACTTCTCAAATATGGCTAATACCACTGATCCAGATTTAGTTTGCTTCATGTCCATGTATTTTCACTTGTTAGCTTAGCCTAGCTGCAAACTTTCATGTTTTTACCGCAGCTCATAAGCTTGATGGGTATACTCTCACAAAACTCTTATTGTTAACTCTATTTGAGCACCTGGTTTATGTTTTTATATGAGAACGATGGTCAGGGAGGAATGGGCCATTGTTGTAGATCGGTTATTAAGAAGATCTTTTGAGTGCAATCACATCTTGGCTAATTGCTCTCTGTCTTTTACTGTTCCATATCTCCAGGTTCTGATAGTGGGTGGACAATAAAACCAGGACTTCCACTGTTCTTGGACAACGTCAACCAAAAGGGAACCAAATGGAAGCCTTTGCATTGAAGGATTTTTTTTAGAGCTTGCATTTGTTCTAAAGACTATCTCAAAACTATAACAGGAGTACACTGTCGTTTTAAGGTCCAGTCATTTGATGAAGCTCCTCTTTATCCCTACGTCTTCTCTGGTTTTTTCTCATCATACCTGACTCTACCAGTTTCACGCCATGCGTCCTTCCCTTGCCACAGCGGTCCTACCGGGCAGAACCCGCTCCCATAATCCACCCAACCTGGCCGTTGGAGGCCGGGAACACCTGTCAGCTCCTCGTAGACGCAGCCCCAACCTGCGGCACACCCTCAGTCCGGAGAACCTGCGGACTCTGACAGAGAGGAGTGGGACACCCGTCGATGCCGCTTCTGTTGTCAGCGCTCCTATTGGACTGACGCGAGCCAACAGCGACACCGACCTGGTGACCTCCCAGAGCCGGTCTTCGCTCACGGCGTCCACCCTGGAGTACACGCTGAACCGGGGCCAGAACCTCGTCATATCCTGGGACATTAAGGAGGAGGTGGATGCCACAGACTGGATTGGACTCTATCATATTGGTGAGAAATTAGTTTTTACTCATTTATTGACTAAATTAATGGAAAATGTTACGAGTGTAAAGAAACCGTAAACTAGATGTTCCTAGTTTTTCTGCCTAAATGAAGCTAAGTTCATATGCTGGTAATAATGAAGTGAATCTTAGTGTTTTATTGTCTAAAAGTTTCTAAATCGTTCACTTTGTTCAGATCTGGTTTTCTTATGTGTTTTTCAAAACGTAACTCGTTCTTCAGTTCTTGTTCTAGTTCTACAGTTTTTAAATCAAAATGTTCAGCTCATACAGGACATTCCTGCTGTGATATTGATATTTTACCGAAAATATTTTACTTGAATTATTTAGCTTTGTTGGCTGCTGGGAGGAGCTGGAAAGGAGCTGTCCTCACATCGTTCAAACCCTTTGAGCTGTTTAAAACTTTTACTGCTCATTTCAGATTAGTTCTGGTTCAGCTGTTTGCAGCTCTTTTCTGCTTGTTCAGCTACTCTTTTAAGTATTCTGTTAATTTTAGCTTTTTTTTCCTCCCAATTTCTGCCTTTTGTGCTTCTTTTAAATAATTTCAACATTTTTGTTCCTTTCAGCCTTTTTTTCTGCTAGTTTCAGATTTTAACTAATCTATTCAATCTGCCTATTTCAGCTTTCCCCCCTACATTTCTGCTACATTCAGCTTTTTCTACACATTTCTGCTGCTTTCAGCTGTTCAGATTCAGCTCACATTAACAGTTTAGCTATGAAACCTTTTCAGCTGGTTTCAGCTTCTTCAGCAGCTCAGCTAAAATCATTCATCATTAAGCGTTCATGAGGCGTTTTCACAGGAAATTACATTTATCTAGTTTGACTTGGTTAACTATTTTTAAATCGCACAAAGGTATTGTAGAAGCTCCTCTTGAGTTTAATGGGCTAAAAATGGGAAGATAAATAAAAAATTTTAAAAAGTGGATTTAGCATAAAAGTTTTGCTTTTTCATTGGCTTCTTTTTTTTCTCGTGTAAATCGAATCTGAAAACCTGACCAGATTAATTTTTTACCTCAAAAATAAAATTAATATACACAAAAAACTTTTACTACATTCTACAAAACAAAAGTGAAATTTAATGCTACACTTTTAAAAATGCATCTAATTTGTATGAAAGCTCAAATTTTCTTATTTACCATTTCTTTTGTTTTTTTTTAAATAAAAATGTAAACTTTTCGACAAATTTCCCTGGGAAGCTAACGAAACAGCTCGTCAAATCGAATTATTTTATTTTAAACACATTTAACTGAAAACCATTTTAGTTAAGGATCCTGATCAAATAATTGAAAAAGTTTGTTGTGTACCAGATACACTTTAATATTTCACTTTAAGTTGTTCAGCTGCAGGAATATTGTGCACATATTTCATAAAACTGGATGAAAAATAGGAGTGCACCGATTGCAATTTTCTGGCCGATCACCGATTTCTAAAAATTCTGACCTGTCGATTCCGATTTTGGCCGATACCGATTTTGTTTTATAAGCAACACTGTCGGGTGTTATAAGGTCACAATGCACCTTCAGTTTTCCCAAATTATTTTATTGAAAACACATCCTTGAGCAATAGCCTAGAAACAATACAAACTTGTTTTAACTGGCCATGAGGTTGTGCTCTGAAATATAAATGAAGTTTAGACGATTGTTGTTAAAACTAAAAGAATTGGTAAAATCGGTTTCTCGTGTAAGTATTGGCCGATTTCCAATTTCCCAAAATTAAGGAAACCAGGGCCGATAAATCGAGAAGGGGTTCTCTGCAGGCCAAAAGTGGGCGTTTCTGACCAATAGGCGTTTGTGGGGGGGGCAAACACTGATTGGCTAGTTGTATCTGCTGCTCTTTAGTTAAGTTACGTCAGGTCTTTTTTAAAACTGAAGGTTTCTAAGAAACAGCGTTATTCTGCTGTCAAACACAAGAAGATTCTCTTTAGTTCTTGGGTTGAAGGCTGCATCTGACACAGGTTGGACTGGGTACAATGAAATATGAAGCATCTGAAGCGAAACCTGCTCCCATTTGTCAAAAAAGTCTGGTCTCAATTAAAGATCATGAGTCCTATGACGAGATAATAACCCCAAACAAACGCTAAAAACAAAATTTGCTCTTTAGAAGTGTCTTCTATGAGATCTGATCTATGAAAGGAGCTGAAACATGGAGTAGGACTGACCCTTAAAATGTGAGACAGCTGAGGAAGTTAACCAGTAAACAGAAATACCAGCTCCAGTTGCAGAAATCTGACAGAACCTGACAATCACTCATCTGCAGTGACTGCAGGTTGAACAAGACAATGTGAAGTTAAAGGAAACATCCTTTGTCCCAAGGCCAGTTTAAGTATCATTAATATTTTTCTTTCTTTATGAATCGATTGTAACTATTTTCACATTTTCAACAACCAAAATGGATTTTGTTTTTTAATGTTATGGCTAAGTATTTAAAATAACAAGCATTTAGCTCTCCCCACTACCCAGTTATGTTGCTCTTATTTTGAAATGTAACTGGAAGTTCTGTGTTAAGAGAGGCGAAAAAAGAAGTTATGGAGACGGCGCCAGTGTTGAACCTGAGCGCTAATGACGAACCGGTTAACACCATAGACATAATAAGCCTTTGGTTAACACAATCTGCCAATAACGCCTTGTTTTTAGACATAATGCGTCTGTTGTAAACACAAACGGCTTTTTATCGTTCAACCTTTTTTTCTATCGTTCAATCAGATGTGGCCGGCCAGACACGCCCATTTTCCTATAGTCCAATCAGATATGACCCCCCGGATACACCTCATCCAGTCAGATGTGCCCGCCCCCCAGATACGCCTTCTGAATTTGCCTGCAGCGATACCTACTTGGATAAATCGGCTGACCGATTTATCAGTGCACCCCTAAACCTTCTAAAATACTATTTTCCTGGATGTTATTCAAACAAAGCAGCTGAGGGACTTTAGAGCAACATTTGGCTCTAGAACTGTGGGCTGCAAACATTTAATTTTATTAAATATTCTGATTAATTATAATAATTTTGTGACTGTGAGGCTTAGAAAACCAGACCAGAAACTAAAGACTTGAACCAAACGTCCTCCTCTGCACTTTTATTTCTGCTTTTCTTCTGAATCTTTTTTTGGAAACGTGCTGTTCTGACTCGGCACTGGCTCAACCCGTCTCGTCCTCAGAGGTTTTTCAGCTGATCCTGGTGTTTTATTATGGGACATCTTGTAGTAGCTTGGTAGAGCCTTGGTGCTGGAGCGTCCAGGTCCGAGTCTGTGCTGAAACATGGGGCCGGAGGCTGAGTCGACACGTATGAGCTCTGCCTGAGAGTGCGGTGACAAACCGTGGTCTCCAGTAATGTATGCTAATCTGCTTAGAGGAAGTTGACAGTGGGGGGAAACGCATTGACCTGAGTGCTGAAGGAGGCTATCAGACTCAAACTGACAGGCGGATCTGTCCATGGAGGGGAAACTGAATACAGCAGGGATAGTGAACATCCAGCACTTTGCTAGAGTTCTACAACGTTGCTCCCATCATGAAGAGCCGAGTCCTGATGTTCCCTCAGGGTTACAGAAAACTGTGATTTCACTTCTCTTGTTTTGTTGCCTCTCATCCAATGAGCCTCCAAAGTAGCAGTTTATGTGGGCTAAACACACATGCAAATCACCCACCTTCCCCTCCCTCCTGTCACGTGAACAATCTCTGGAAATGTTTTTTCGATGTTGCTTGCGGATGAGTTGCACGGTAATGCTGTGCTCGTAGAATCCGCAGTGGTTCTGGTCACTAGATGGCGCTGTGGTTTTGTACCACACCGACACGCGCAGACGCGTCAAAACAGTTTCACCCCAAACGCCAGTGAATGCACAAATGTTCGTTTTGGCCGAGGACGAGGTTGGGTCGCTCCTACATGTAGAAGGCGTTGATCAAGACGATGAGCATTTTGCCAGTGAGATGAGATGAGTCAGTCTTTTCAAGACCCTAATGAGGGAGGGAAGGGAGCATGTGTAACTTTTGACCTGCAAACTGAGGCCTGTAGAGATGGAGCTCTTGGGATTTGAGGTCATTTTTCTGAACAATCTTAAATTTAATTCACTGAGACATCAAACTTGTGGAGGGTCAATAATCAGAAAGCTTTTTATTTTACATTTTAATTTCACAGAAATTTGGGGTCTCTCATTAGAAACTCCATTGGATTAATTCGTATCACATGGCTGCTACATCAAGCTGCACATCGGACAGCGGAGGACTTCAAAGATCCATGGTTTGTCATTGACTGGTTTAGATAAAAGTGACCATATTAAAATTAAATTGTGGCACTAAAGAGTTACGACGCAGCTGGACAAAACGGATGGCCTAAAGGCTTAATATTCATTCAATCAAGTTGGCGTCCAGCGAGTGAACCAATCCTAACACGATAACATCTTCGTTTACTGAGAGCATTTCAAACTTTTAGAATGTGTGTTCAGATGGTTTCTCATCAGGCTGCAACTAGTTGGTGAATGGTATTTATGAGTTTTCATGTCTTGTGACAGTGTAGAGGCAAAGCGTCCTAATTACGTCTCAGTCATGTCTCTGTTTGATTATAATTTGTCTCCAATTAGTCACAGGTCAGTTTCGTTAGTTGCCAAACCCTCCTAAAGTTGATGCGTCTGATTCATGGAAACTGAACAGATGAGGGTTTGGGATGTTCTCAATGACTGTACTGTACTATGAGAGAAAATTTCTTCTGAAAGTAGTTTGAACATGTTTAAAATTATTTACCGAGGTTTCTTCCCATTAGACATAGCCAGAAAACCTCCCTAAGGAGGCATCAATGGGAAATCCTTCCGGCATCTGGCGAGGATGCTCCCCTGGATGCCTCCCTAAGGAGGTGTTGCAACTGGGAGAAGACCTCAGTGAAGACCCAGGATACTCTGACTAGGCTCCTTCACAAGACAGTTCAGTGAAATGCCAGTTCTATCTTTATTCTTCCTCTGGTCATTCAGAAATCACTGATGGAGCCAGCCCCGTCCCACACAGATTTTCAGATGAAGCGACCATCGTGGAAACAAAAGAGGCGTGGAGCAGAACTCAGCTGGGTTGACATGAGGCACGGCATATTAAAAGTGTGGCATCATCATCCATCTTCCCTCTATAATAAATCTTTTCGTTGTTGTTTATTCCTACGGCCGGGCAGTCACACGGACCAGATGTCATCACTTTGTTGCAATATTGAGTCGCGGCACCGGCTTACCTTTTCACACGTTAGCCATTTAGGCTCTGTTACTACCTCTCTTTGTGGCACAAAGGCACACCAGGAGAGGCTAGAGGTGACCAAAAGGCATTTAAGTCCTGAGTTCAAGTGTTTTGTGAAAGAGACTGTCTCTCAGCTAGACTGGGGACACCTTGGAGGTGTAAGAGGTGACTGTGGAAGGAGATGACTGGACCTCCCTGTTCAATCTGTTGCCCCCAAGATCTGAGCCCAGAACTAGAGAAACGTGACGGGTGAATGTTCAAATTAATGTGTCCTAAGAGCGAAGTCCTGTAACTCGCACAAAGAAACCAAGAAGCCTCACAAGTGTTTCTAGACATATTGGAAACTCCTTCACGAAGGACGTTCTCAGTTTGTTGCTTACCACGGTGACCCAGAGAGATTCTGGTGTTTTGGTCCTATATTCATTCTTTGAGCATAATGGCAACATCTTGGTGAGGTACTGGTCCAAACAATTTTTCATTCATTCAACCTTTATTTATACAAGTTAATCCCATTGAGCCTCGGAGACTCATTTACAAGAGAGACCTGATTTTAACAAAGAGTGATGACAACAGTGGACAACAATAGACAATCAAAGGATGCGTGCAAATTGAGAATAACAAGTGAAAATAAAATGGTATTAAAAATAGATGTAACAAAAAACAGGTTGTAAGGCGATGTAGAGAACTAAAAACAACAACTGATCACTGAAACCCCTTCTGCGATCCTAACGTAGTTGGTTCGTCATTCTGTTTAGCCCAAAATAACTTCATGACCTGCTTCAGGGTCCTGTAGCCCAGTGGAGCTAACACTTTCATTGACTAAGCAGACATTCAATAACATGCGCGCTGCCCCAGCCTCCTCACACACACATAGATTCAGCACACACTTCCTGGGTTTGGGCCTTCATTAATCTGTGTACAAAACTGCTACGGACAGCGGAAATCCCCCTCCATGCTCTTAATTCGGAGGAAGCTCGTCCTTCTGGTTGAAGGTTACACCGAGACTATTTTAGGAACGGATTTCACTGATTAAAGGAAAAAAAAATGTTTTTTGGATTGCAGAGTGTGCAGACCTGAACGGACAGAAATGCATCATTGTGACAGTTTTACTCACCGAAAGCACCAACGAGAGCTGAAAAAGGTTTTTTTTGTCTCTTTGCTGTAACTAACAGTTCTGCTTTTCTTCAGATGAGACCAGCCCATCCAATGTGTGGGACTGCAAAAACAGAGGGGTCAACGGCACCCAGAAGGGTCAGATCGTTTGGAGGCTGGAGCCGGGACCTTACTTTATGGAGCGTAAGTTTATCTTTTATAAAGATCCGTAAAGATCCCAGTTTCATTGGCTCTGACATATAAAAGTATTTCCTCTTCCCTCCACAGCTGAGACTAAGATTTGTTTTAAATACTACCATGGGGTGAGTGGAGCTCTGAGAGCGGCGACCCCCTGCATCACCGTGAAGAATCCAGCAGTTCTGGTCTGTTGCCCTGCCTTTGTGTTGAATCACGCTGAACCAGTGAGATTTGAAGCTAAATCTCAGATGTACGGTTGTTAAAATAAGACACAAGAAGATTATCTTAAAGCATCACAATTAGTTGTAGTTGATATATTTAACACCAAATGAGGGTTCTTGCTCAGTCCATTTGTGTTTTCAGGCTGTTCAAGTTTTCAAGTCGTTATGATTTCAACTGAAGAACAACACGCGTCATTTTACCGTGTTGTCATGTTGTTATTTAATTTATAAAAGTAAAACAGGAAGAAGGAGAGAGTAAAAACTATTTGGAGTCCACCGTTCTGCAGAGAGGAGGATTATACACAATCAGGTCTTCAGATCAGGCAGACGTTTAAAACATTTGACATTCTTCACCCTGAAGGTCAGACCATGCAGTGGCTCTACAGGCCTCAGTCAGCAGGTCAAAGGTCATGACCTCTTCTCTTTAAAAACAACTTGGCAGCTCGAGTTAGGTTTAGAAAGTTTAATCTGATGGAACCACAAAAATTTCTGAACCAGAGCAGGGACAGATGTTTATAAACATTCTGAGTATACCCATAATGCACTGCAGGAAACAGCTCCTCCCAGCTGTCAGCACGGTGGTGGAGGCTGATGGTTTGGACTCCTGTCAGTCACTGAGTGGACCAGGAATTTCTCTGTAGACCAAAGGGTTCTGGAGCCAAATGAGAGTCCATCTGTCCAACAGTTGAAGCTTGGACCAACACAGCAGTTGATCTACAACAGAACGGGCCAGAAAGAACAGAACCAAGGTCCAGTCAGAGTCCAGAACATAAGCCTGACTGAAATGCTGCGGTAGACTTTCAGAGAGCTGAGCAGAACCCTCAATGATGGAAAGAAGAGTGGACCAGAGAACTCCTCCAAAACCATGAGACTGATACAGAAAACCACAAGGTTCTGCTGCTGAAGAAGGTTCTGACCCTGCTGGGTCAGGTCTGGAACCGGTTTTTGTTTAAGCCTGCTGGATGAAGAAAACAGTTTTTCACATTTAGATATTGTTCAACAATTAATCAACCAGTGTAATGGGTCACATGCTGCTCTTAGCTTATTTAGAACAACGTTAATAATGTCAGCAAGCTTTAGATATCTAGTAAGATGCTTAGAGTGATGGCCTGATCTGAACATCCTGACATGTGAGGAGAAATATTTCTTCTGTTTATATTTGAGGTCTTCCTGTGGTCTGCAGACCCTAATGTCGTCTTGTTTTTGTAGGTGGAGGGGCTGGCGGAGCAGGTGGGTGTTGAACATCCTCGGAAACTGATCAGCTTCACTTTAACAGGTGAGTTGAAACTGTTTTGAAGTCACGACTCCTTGACGATTAAGGGCCTTGCTCAAGGGCCCAGAGTGGGACGAATGAGGGTGGGGGCAGGTGTGGGTGCTTCACCTTCCCCACCCACATTTTTGATGTTGTCGGTACTGGGGCTTGAACTGGTGATCTACAGGCCCACCTTCTCTAACCTCTGCGCCACCACTCCTCTGAAGTTTTTCTTTTCCTTGTGGAAGTTTTTTCCCACAAGAGAGGAGCCTGATAACTGAAAGCTCTGCCTCCCACTCTACTTTTGGAAACTCTAGGAACTACAAGTAAACCTGCAGTCTGAGAGCAAAGTGCTCTGTTAGGAAAGTATGAAAAAAAACAAGATCTGTAATATAAGATGGAACTAGGTTGTTGGGAGCTTTGCTTGTTAGACATAAAATTTTGAATTCTATTCTAAGTTTGACAGGGAGCCAATGGAGAGAAACTAAAACTCTTCTACTAACTCCAGTTAAGACTCGAGCAGCAGCATTTTGGATCAACTGAAGACTTTTTAAAGAAGTATTTGGACACCCAGATAACAAACCATTGCAATAGTCCAATCTACAGTAGATGTGATAAATGCATAAATCAGTTTTTCTGCATAATTTTTGGACAAGATGTTTCTAATTTTAGCGATATTACGCAGGTGGAGGAAAGCGGTACTGGTAACTTTTTTTTATGTGGAGGTTAAAAGACATCCTGATCAAAAATAACACCAAGATTTTTTAACATTAGAACTGGAGGCCAAATTAATGCCATCCAGAGGAAGTGCAAGGCCGCAAAGTTCATTCCAAGATGTTCAGGTCCAAAAACCACAACTTGTGTCTTGTCTGAGTTTAAAAGCAGAAAATTTAGGGTCATCCAGGTTTTTATGTCCTTAAGACATGCTTGTAGTCGTAAGTAACTGATTGGATTCATTGGGTTTCATGGACAAATATAACTGTGTATCATCAGCATAACAATGAAAAATTATTCCATGCTGTTTAATAGCATTACCTAATGGAAGCATATATAAAGCATTCGTACAAGCACTGAGCCCTGAGGAACTCCATGACTAACTTTGGCATTTGAAGAAGTTTCATTATTTACATTTACAAACTGGAATCTATCAAATAAGTGTGATTTAAACCATTTTGAGCCATTTTTGTAATCATATTCAAGTCTCTAATAGAATATGAGGTCTACCAAATAGACACAAGTCAATTGTCTGAGGCCATGAGAATATCTTCAGTAACTTTCACCAGTGCTGTTTCTGTGTTATGATGAGCTCTATACCCTGACTGAAACTCCTCAGATTATTTCTGTTCAGGTGTTCACACAATTGATTTGCAACTACTTTCTCAAGAAATTTTTAGATCAATATTAGATATATCGGTAGGTCTATAATTGGCTAGAATTTCTGAATCAAGGTCAAGTTTCTTAAGTAAAGGTTTAATTACAGCAACCTTAAAGTGATGTGGTATGTAACCATTCATTAGAGATAAACTAAGCAGATCCAAAATATGAATATTAATTAGAGGAAATACCTCTTTAAACAGTCTGATTGGGATGTGATCAAGCAGACGTTGATGGTTCGGATGAAGCTATTATTTTTGACAATTCAGAGAGCTCAACAAGACAAAAACAATCCAAACATAAATCAGGTTCTTGTGACATTTATAAAGCTGCTTCATCTGATAGGGAACCAGAGGTGATAGTAGGAAGGATGGTGTGAATTTTCTCTCTATTTGAAATAATTTTATTTATAAAGAAACTCACAAAGTCATCACTGCTTATATCTGTGGGGATACATGATTCAACAGAGATAGGACTTTTCATTAGTCTAGCAACAGTACTGAACAGAAACCTGGGGTTATTTTTGTTCTCATTTATTAAAGATGAGTAATAGACAGTTCTAGCTTTATGGAGAGCTTTCTGTTAGCAGGCCACCTCTCCAAGTTAAATAAAATTCTTCCATGTTAGTGGAACACCATTTCCTTTCTAGCTTTCTTAATGCCTCTTTTAAAGTATGTAACCCAGAATTGAACCAAGGAGCCAGCTTCCTCTGATTTGATTAATGTATTTTTCAGCAGAGCACATTTATCAAGTGAAGTTTGCACTGAAGTTTTAAAATGATCGACAAGATCATCTAAGTTGCTGCTCTCTGGTGCATTATTCTGCAAGACAGGAAAATAATAATGGAAGAGATACTTTAAATGTGGTTTCTGCGTTCTCTGATAAACACCTACTATAATAAAATTTAATCTCAGTGGCTGTGCAGTCGGTTAATGTAAACTCAAAGGTAGTTAAAAAATGGTCAGACGGATCAGGATTTTGAGGATGTATTAATAAGTACTGCCATATATCAGAGCCAGATCAAGAGTGTGATGATGAGAATGAGTGTGGATATTTTAGGTAAAACCAACAGACTTAAATTATTAAAAAACAGTTCAACAATTCATAAATCGAAACATTCGACTCATTCTGGACATTCCTGCTCTGACGTTTGGTATCTGTGCAATTTAGACTTTTTGATTTATTTAACTTTGTCAGCCATGTGGGGTGTGGTGGTGCAGAGGTTAGAGAAGGTGGGCCTGTGATCGGAAGATCGCCGGTTCAAGCCCCGGTACAGACAACATCAAAAATGTGGGTGGGGTAGGTGAAGCACCCACACCTGCCCCCACCCTTATTCGTCCCACTCTGGGCCCTTGAGCAAGGCTCTTAACCCCCATCATCTGCTCCACACAGAGGGCTGTGGTAGCTCGGTGGTCTGTGGTTGTGTCAGGAAGGACAGCCGGTGTAAAATTAACTGCCAAGTCTTCGTGTGACTTAGTTCGCTGTGGTGACCCTTGAAGATGGGAGCAGCCGAAAGAAATAACAAAAACTTTGCCGGCCATGTTTTTCTCATTGTAAATGAATGGAGCTCTCCACATCTTCAAACTCTTTAGCTGTTTACAACCTTTTTCTGCTTATTTCAGCTTTTGCTCTGCTTCATCTGTTTTCAGCTTCTTTCTGTTCATTTCAGACCCTTTGTCTATTCTTTTCTGCTCCTTTCAGCTGCTTTCTACTAAAATCAATGGTTTTATGTTTTTTTAGCTATGATACTTTTTTGTTGTTGATTTTTTCAATTTCAGCTTTTTTTAATCTATTCGGCTTCTGTCTGTTTCAGCTTATTCTGCCTATTTCTGTTACATTCAGCTTTTATTTTCCTGCTATAGCAAATGTCAGCTGTTCATTTTCAGCTTACATTAGCAGTTTAGCCATGACATTTTTTCAGTTGGTTTCATCTTCTTCAGCAGCTTTCAGCTAAAATCATTTAGCAATAGGCCTCTGCGTTTTCACAGGAAGTGGCCTATTTGTCTAGTTGATTTTTGTCTTTCAGAGACAGTCGAAGAGCTTCTGACTCAGTTCAGCTAACCCTTCAAAGCATTTCTGGATTTTTATTTTTCACTTTTCTTTGTTTAGATGTTGTTTTTTTTCAGTCCATATTATTTGGTTGCAGATCTGCGAGCCACCGGCCTGAAGAAGGGCATGTTTTTTAACCCCGACCCTTACCTGAAGATGTCCATCCACCCAGGGAAGAGAAACATCTTCCCCGTCTTCAGCCACCACGGACAGGAGCGGCGGTCAGCCATCATAGCCAACACCATCAACCCAGTGTGGCACGGAGAGGTGGTGCTCGTCGTTTCAGAAAAAATATCTTTATTTACTTACAGAGGGATCTGACAACATGTTTACCTGTCCACAGAAATACACGTTTGTGGCGCTGATGACAGACATCCTCTACATCGAGGTGAAGGACAAGTTCGCAAAGAGCCGACCGATTATCAAACGCTTCCTCGGTCAGCTTGCCATCCCTGTGCAGCGGCTTATCGAAAAGATACCAGGGTATGAGACGAAAAGGCCCGAACAGATGTCCTATCATGGTCTGAATATTTAAATAATTTAATTTAGGTTTCTATTTTGGACATGATTCTTTTTCAGAGTTCAGCCTGTGAGTTTCTCCTTGTGTCGGCGCTTGCCAACCGAACACGTGAGCGGTCAGCTGCAGTTTAAAGTGGAGCTAACCTTGACCGGACCCGATGGTACGTCTCCTGAATGCGATTCAACTTTCCACACCCCAACTTATCGGTTCCTTTGTTTTCCTTTAATATTCATCCTCGTCTTCCTACTGTAGGTGCCTCTCCTGACTCGATCATTGGTATTTCTTCCTTGAATGGAGCTCCAGGAACTCCGTCAGATGACGAGGACTTGCCCCATCCCCTTCCAGGTGTGGTCTCTGCAGGTGCTTCTCCGACTGGCTCCCAGGGCTCTCAGGGCATGTGGGAAGGTGGAGCCGTGGCTTTGCCAGTAAAGGACCTGCCTGTTGTTAGAGCGGAGGCCAGATTTGTAGAACCTGTGATGTTTTCTGGTCAGACAATGCTCCAGAGGTCCCTCAGTGAGGGGCTAGATGCTATTGAAGCTCCTAAAGGTCCAGGAGAGAGACCTCTGGGCGCTGCCTCACCTAAGTTGTGCTCCAGCTTCCCGACACACACGAGGCTGAGTGCCATGCTGCACATCGACTCCGACGAAGACGAAGAGAGGTCCGCCATGATCGACGTGATGCCGATGCCTTTGTCGCCGTTACTGATGAACGGAGCGCCTCTGTATGTCGGTGGTCCCGATGAAGACGACCTGATTCCTGAGCAACCAGAGTGCTCGGCTCAGGAGGAAGAACTTGTGATGGAAGATGAGCCACCAGACGAGGAGTTGGGGCTGGATCTAGAAGCAGATCTGGACTTGGAGGATATTCTGGAACAAGATGTTTTTCTCGAGGCGGAGGAAGAGGTTCTAGTCTCAGAGGTTGTTACCCATAATGCTTTGCCAGAGGTTGCAGGGGCAAGTGAACAAGGAAGGACGCCTGGTGAGGAGGCTTCATCAGAGATCGACACCTGCTCCATGGCAACAGCACCTCAGACTGTGTTTTCATCATCTGAGAGCGGCCCCGTCACCCAGACCACCGCTGTGGTGAGTCTAATCCTGGGTTTAATTCTGAGTAAAAGTCAGAAAGAAAGAAAAAAAAAAAAATATATATATATATATATATATATATATATATTTATATATATATATGCTATATTAGTGCAGCAATATATTGAATATTGATCTTATTCTAAAACAGATCACACTGGATTTACCTCCACATATACAGTAAATATATAAACTTCACTGCTCATCAGTTCCTTCAGTTTTTTTTGTTTTTTTTTAGCTTAACTGTTGTCTGTCTCCTGAAGTTAATGTCTACAAGCTAACTAACAAATCTACAAGCTAACCTCGATAAACCTACAAACTAAACTTAGCAAACCTACAAGCTAACATTAGCAAACCTACAAGCTAACATTAACAAACCTACAAGCTAACCTCAGTAAACAAAATGTTTTCTCTTATGAAACTCTTCTGTGATGCAAAAAAGTCTGGAGAACGCTGCTTATCGGTTTCTGAGTGAATGTGAGTCAGTTTGAGTTCTTTATGAAATAATTCTGCTCGGGTAATATTTCATGCAGGAAGCAGAGGAAGGAACAGTGACGGCCATAGATCCAGGGGGGGATGGAGGCTCAGGCCCCCCTCCAAACGGTGGTGATGATGATGGAGGTGGTGAGCGACCTTTAGCTACTGAGGCTGAAGGAGAAGCTCCACCTCCCAGCCAGTGCCAGGAGGTGGAAGAGCTCAGTGTAAGGAGGCTGAGCCTGCAGGCGACAGGGGGAGGAGCTGAGGAACAAGAAGGGGAGGAGACAAAGACTCGAGAGGAGGCAGGGCCTATTGATTCAGAGCACATCACCACGGAAACAGATGAAGAAGAAGGTATTTAAGCAAACTACTACAAAATGTTCAGTTTTAGTTTATAAAATGTTTTGGTTTGTTTTTAGTTTAATGTTACAAACTATTGATTAATTTAAAATGATTAATGTGATTAGTCATTAATTATGAAACAGAATAACCTGGTCTTTTGTTTTTTGTGTTCAGCGGCGCGCGTTAATGGCCATCCTGTACGTTCTCTTCCTTCTGTGCGTCACGACATCCACCGGTACCAGCGCGTGGACGAGCCGCTGCCTCCCAGTGAGTGTGTGTGTCTGCATGAACCCTGTTGTTAGCTTGTCGTGTTGTTTAGCTGTGCATCTTTATTCATATTTATTTCTCCGTATTGTAAATGTGTGCATTGCTAACGGTACCCGACCAAGAAAAATCACCCAAATATTTAATCTTAAAGGGTTATTTAGGATGTCTGGAAGAGAGATTTTGTAAAAAATGTTATAGATAGTTAACATGTTACCTGATGAAGATAGCTCCTGGAACAAAACAGTTTAACTCTGAGCAGGTTGATGAGCTAATGAATAGTCAGTGTTTCCTCTGCCATTCTACAAGCAGGGCGTCCCACTCTGTCAACAGAAATACTCATGTATGTCTACAAATCGCTGAACAGTTTTGCGCCCCCCCATCTCTCTGATTTGCTACAGCCGTATGTCCCACCACGTTCTCTGAGGTCAGCGGACCAGTTGCTCCTCACAGTTCTATGAACTCTTCTTAAGCGCAGAAGGGACAGGGCCTTCTCTGTCGCAGGACCAAGACTTTGGAATGAGTTACCTCTGCTTGTCAGACAGGCCCCCTCCCTCGGTTTTCAAATCCCGTTTAAAAACCCACTACTATCCAGTAGCTTTCAACACCAGATGATCTGTGTTTTGAACCTGTATGCTTCACACTGGTTTGTTGTTATATTTATTATCTGCAACGTTTTTATGTCTATATTCTGATTTACTTCATTTTGTATGTTGCTTCGTGTGTTGCCTGTTGTTCTGTCTGTACAGCACTTTGGTTGTCCTTGTCGCTGGTTTAAGTGCTCTATAAATAAAATGGTATGGTATGGGTATGAGCGCGTTGCCTACCGAACCGAACTACCAAAACCCCCCCCCCCCCCCCCCCCCATATGAGTTTCCTCCTCGGGTAGCTGGACTCTCTGAGATAAGGTGACAAGTTCCAGGAGAGACTCAGAGTAGAACCCCTGCTCCTCCACATCAAGAGGAGCCAGTTGAGGTGGTTCGGGCATCTGGTAAGGATGCTCCCTGGATGCCTCACTAGGGAAGCGCTTCGAGCATGTCCGACTGGGAGGAGACCCCGGGGAAGACCCAGGACATACTGAAGAGACTGTCTCTCGGTTTGCCCGGGAACATCTTGGAGTCCTCCCAGAAGAGCTGGAAGAGGTGACTGTGAAAAGAGATGTCTGGGCCTCCCTGCTCAAGATGCTGCCTCCAAGACCTGACTTTGGAACAAGCAGAAGATAATGGCTGGCTGGCACTCTCTGCTGACTAAAAAAACTTTTATTTCAACAAAATAAAACGTTTCCTTTGGTTCTTGACTGGTTTTATTTCTACAGTTCGGTGCCTCTCAGACACCTACTTCTTCTCATCCATCATTCATTTCCTCTCAGACTGGGAGGCTCGGATCGATAGCCACGGCAGGATCTTTTTCGTGGACCACGTGAACAGGACCACCACGTGGCAGCGTCCCACTGGGCCCCCCGCCCCGCAGGGCCTGACCCGCTCCAACTCCATTCAGCAGATGGAGCAGCTCAACCGCAGGTGAATTAAAGCGTATTAAAAACAGAAACCATCAGTTAAACCAATCAGCAGCGAGTGGAACGTATCAGTGAAGGCAGGGAACGTCTCTGTATGTAACCTGTGGTGGTTTTGGTTCTTTGTCTTTGGGGTTTTAAAATAATTTAACCGTCAGTGCTGAATATTAAAAGAAATGTCTTGTTTCAAGAATTGCATTCGATTGAAAATTCCCCCGCTCATCATTTCAAAACAGTTATTCAACTTTAATGTGACACAGATCCAGTACAACAAAAATAAACCTGCTAAAATAAACAAATCGGTTAAAATCAATCAACCTGTTAAAATAATAAACTTTGTAAAATCATCAGTAAGTTTCTTTCAGCTGCTCTCTTCTTCAGGGGTCACCACAGAGAACAAACTCGTATGAAATAATTGGCAATTTGTTTTATGATGAATGCCCTTCCTGACGTAGCCTGGACTCGAACCCACAACCTCAGAGTTATAAGAGCACAGCACTGACCCCCAATCTACCACAGCCCCCAAACTTAAAATAAATAATTGTTTCTTCATCCAAATTCAGATTCTTGTTTTTGGCTAAGCACCGCTTCGAATGTTATCAGCCATTAAATGGCCATTATTAGTTGTTATCACCCCCATATGTAGCGTTCAGACTGCCCCTCCTGTACCTCCTAGTGGATTTAAAGGTACGTTGTTAGCATTGTTAGTGCTGATAATAGACTCGTGTGGTCTGGGGGTTAGGTTTAGGGTTGATCCTGTGGGTCAGGTGTAAGGTTAGGTGTAGGAAAAGGGTTACATTAGCTGAAAAAAAAAAACCTTCCTGGTTTACGCGCGTGCGACGCTGCATATTATCAACGATAATAATGTTCCTTTAAACCTTCTAGGAGGTAGGCGGGACAATCTGAACGCTAATTATGGGGACGATAACTAATAATGGACCATTTAATGGGCTGATAACATCCAAAGCCGCTGGGAAAAGTTTCAGCATGATTGATCTTGATTCCATTGTTTACATGTCAAAGAATCTAAACGTCTGATTTACATGTTTTAAAACCAAAAATCTCATATTTAACCCCCTCGCAGATACCAGAGCATCAGAAGGACCATCACGAACAGCGACCGCTCCGAGGACAGCTCCGCTGATCTCCTGTCAGAGCCAGAGACGGAGCTGATGCCTCACTCTGTTTCAGGTTCGTGTCAACATACTGGCTCCTCCGATGTGTCCTCCTCGTCCAAATCTTTGACCGCTTTGTTGGTTCTGTTGCAGAGTACCGTAGAGACAGCGCCGTCGCTCACTCCAGCGGCCGCTCGCGGCTCTCCCTGCTGCTCCAGTCGCCCAGCGCCAAGTTCCTGTGCAGCCCGGACTTCTTCACCGTGCTGCACTCAAACCCCGTCAGTCCGTAAACACGGCACGCTTCACACCCAAGGAGTCACTCTGAGCTTCGTGCTCAGACATTTTTATTGTTATATTTTTCAAATGTATCCTCTGTCTTCAGAATGATCCAGACTCCAGCAGAATGTAGTTTCATCTCTGACCAACCTGTTTTGGGTTGTTAGGGTCATTTTTAAACGTGAGTGGCGGCGCAGAGGTTGGAGAAGGTGGGCCTGTGATCGGAAGGTCACCAGTTCAACTCCCCCGTACCGACAACATCAAAAATGTGGGTGGGAAAGGTGAAACACCCACACCTGCCTCCACCCTCATTTGCCCCATTCTGGGCCCTTGAGCAAGACACTTAACCCCCACCATCTGCTCCCTCGGGTGCCCTAGATGGCAGGTCTCTGCTCCACACAGAGGACTGTGGTAGCTCGGTGGTCTGTGGTTGTGTCAGGAAGGGCATCCAGCATAAAAGACAATTGCCAAGTCTTCGTGCGAGTTAGTTCGCTGTGGCGACCCCTGAAGAAGGAAGCAGCCGAAACAAACAAACAAAAAAAGGCTATTTTTAAACGTACATTTAAATCAAAGCCGTATGAGACAAAACTGTAAACTAACCAATCAGAGGTTCCATCTTCTACCTCTTATCTATGATCGGTTTGTGGAGGCAACAGGTCCAGAAGAGAAACCCAGACCTTTCTCTCCCCAGCAACAATCTCCTGATCCTCCTGGAGGATTCTTGTCTGTTCCCAGACCAGAGAGGATCTATAACCCCTCCAGAGAGTTCTGGGTTTGCCTGGGGTGTCCTACCAGTGGGACATACGCAGAAAATGGAGGCATCCTGATCAGATGAACCTCCTCAGCTGATTCCATTCGATGCAGAGGAGCAGCGGCTCTACTCCGAGCTCCCTCCGGATGGTGGAGCTCCTCACCCCATCTCTAAGGCTGAACCAGCCCCCCTACTAAGGAATCTCATTTCAACACTGGTATCCTAGATCTGGTTCTTTTGATCATGATCCAAACTTCTTGACGTTGGAACAGAGACAGACCAGTAAAGCCAGGGTTTTGTTTTTAGACTCAAATCTTTTTTCTGCCAAGACCAACCGAAGCGGTACCCTCATTTCTGAGGACGAGGCCCTGATCCACCAATCCCCTGTATTCTACCATCACTCAGGATAAATGACCCGGAAACTTAAACTCCAACACGAGACCAAGACTACCGCAGAACTGGAGGAGGTTTTCCTCCCGTTTCTGATTGAGGACCAGAGTTTTTGATGGATAAGCATCAGCTGCATCAGGAAACCTCACCTGGAAAAAAGGAAAACTTGGCACCCCCTCTGAGCCAGGCCTGCGGACGAGCTTACCGGTGAGTGTCCAGTGGTCGAGCCTGGTGTCCTCAGACTCAGTTGGGTCAAGCCTGAACCAGAAACTTGATTCCATCTTTATGTGGGCCCATCACTTGCGAGGAGGACCGTTGAGGGTGGGTGCCATGCAGGCCGGGCAGCTGGCGAGGAAGTGTCCCTGGCTGTTCAGATTCTTGGAGACATAAAGACTTGAACTAGCTCTAAGGACACTGAAAGTCAACTGGATTTTGCTGGTTCTTGTATTTTCAGTAAAGGCGTCAATGAAACCAGAACCCAGAACATGTTGGTCAAATTTTAAACCTGTTCTCTAGTTCCTACAAGTGTCTCTTGGTGTTAGTTTTTCTTTCTTCTTCACATATTTTAGAGGAACATACAGTTGTGTTAGAAACTCTCGGTGTGTTGAACTGGTCTCTTTCTGAAAAGTTGACCTCCGTGTCCATCGTCTTTGTCCAGAGTGCCTACCGCATGTTTACGAGCAACACCTGCCTGAAGCACATGATCAGCAAGGTGCGTCGAGACGCTCACTACTTCGAGCGCTACCAGCACAACCGGGACCTCGTCACCTTCCTCAACATGTTCTCCAACAAGCAGCTGGAGCTCCCCCGGGGCTGGGAGATGAAGCACGATCACACCGGGAAGGTGGGTTTTCATCGGGACACGAACGTTTAGACCCCGGGTCCATATCCAGGAGTCTGAAAGATGCTTCACTGTGGTGCATGGAGAAGGTTTCTGAGCGTGTACATCTCAACCCTCCAGCCGTTCTTTGTGGATCACAACTGTCGATCGACGACCTTCATCGACCCGCGGCTGCCCCTCCAGAGTTCTCGGTCCACCGGGCTGCTGGCCCACCGCCAACATCTGAGCCGCCAGCGAAGCCACAGTGCTGGAGAGGTAAGAAACGACCAACACTTGACTCGGTCTCAAATTAAAGCTCTACAGACTCTGATTATAGCACAAGGCTAAAATCTTTTACTTCAAATGCCGTGAGCTCTTATCAGTGATGTCATCTGCTTTCTCTTCACTTGTGAAAGCTTGTTCAGTCGCATTCTGACGGTCGCGGGCACTCATTTTGAAGCGAGAACTTAGCGCGCGCTGAGATTAGCCTAGCCTAGCCTACTAACGCTAACGCCTTCTGGACTCGAGCTCTGCATAACATCTACGTCACCACGCACTTACGCAGTTGTGTCGCATCTTTTTCTGTCCGGGTTGAAACTGAAGCTGCCACTTCAACGTCGGTGAAACGTTGTAATCATATCGAAATATCGAAAATGTGCTTAAAACTCATATCACCGTTATTGAATAAAAGTATATTGCGACATGTAGATATTGAATTATTGTCCGACTCTAGCTTAAGTGTAGTTACCTCAAATGATTGGAGTGGCTCTATGGCCCTCCCCTGGCTCCACCATTGTGCCCTGAGGTGGATAAAATTGCTCTCCACTCTCACCAGGTTCCGTCACTGTGCCGCCACACACAAGCAAAAAAATAAATAAATAAAAAATCACCTCTATTCAAAAGCTACAAACGTCACTGAGTCCCTCAGTGAGTAGATATTTATGTAGCACCAGTTCACAACAAAAGTCATCTCAGGACAAAAGCATGCGTTAGAAAATATAATTCCCGTTTCTTGAGTTGACTCCACGAAAACACCAAAGATGTGACAGTTTTACAAACAAAAAACAGATTTTAGCTCCAGTGTTGTGATTCTCCAAGAGCTGAGACCATTTTGAGAACTTTGTGAGGTCGGCGATGGTGCGGACTCGTTGGGTCTCAGAACGAGGACGTGACCTGAACTGTAGGGCTTCCTTTTGTCTCAGGTGGTGGACGAATCCCGTCAAAGCAACCCTCCTGTGATGCCCCGCCCCTCCAGCACCTTCAGCGGTTCCAGTCGAAGCCCGTACCACGACGTGGTTCCTGTCGGTAAGCCCACCGGCGGCAGGTTGGGTCATGACTCAGAAAACCATTTTTTTATGTTGTCCTCCCCTCACCTTCAGCTTACAATGACAAGATTGTGGCGTTTCTACGGCAACCCAACGTTTTCGAGATCCTGCAGGAAAGGCAGCCCGAGCTCGCCAGGAACCATTCACTCAAGTACGTCTCTTCTTCTTCTTGTGTTTTAATGTTTCTGTTTTAACCTTCACCTCCAGTGTCTCATCATCACCAGCTAGCAGCACTTAACCTTAACCCTGATGGATCGAGTCTGTTGAGCCTCTGACGTGTGCGTGTGTGTGTGTGTGTGTGTGTGTGTGTGTGTAGGGATAAGGTGCAGTTCATTCGCAGTGAGGGGGTCAACGGCCTGGCTCGCCTCTCCAGTGACGCAGACCTCGTCATGCTGCTCAGGTGAGTCCTGGGGGTGGCGACAGGAACACCTGTTGTGTCAGGTTGATGCTTTTTTCAGCTGGCACACTTAATGTAAGATTTGTGAAGTATTAATGTGCTGAGTCATGTTCTATTCATGTAACAGGGTGCCATAACTTAAAGACCAAATAACAGTTAGGCTGTGAGCAATACACAGTTTTTTTTTTTACATCATAACAACCTAAAGTGATAATTCAGGTGTTTTGATGTGGGGTTTCCTTGGAAAGGTTATAAACGATTATGGTCTTACCTGTTCTAGATAATTCTTTGAATTAATTCAGTTTGGAGATGAAGTTTTATTCTGACCAGATGGACAGGCTAATGGTTAATTAAGGCAAAAGTTAGTCTGAGCTAATTACTAATCTGAGATCATGGTTAATCCAAGAAAATGGCTAATCCAAGCTAATAGTTAATTCAAGCTATTGTCTAATCTAAGATAATGGTTAATCTAAGGAAAGTGGCTAATTCAAGATAACAGCTAATCTAAACTAATGGCCAATCTAAGTAAATGGATGATTCAAGCTAATAACCGATCAGAGCTAATGGCTAAATTTAGCTACTGGCTACTTCGAGCTAATGGGTAATCAAAACTAATGCTAATCTAAGCTAATGGCTACATTTAGCTAATGGCTACTCCAAGCTAATGGCTAATCAAAACTAATGTTAATCTAAGCTAATGGCTAAATTTAGCTAATGGCTAATCAAAACTAATGTTAATCTAAGCTAATGGCTAAATTTAGCTAATGGCTA